TGACTATGTGGTAATCTGAGTACATACTGTGGTGACTATGTGGTAATCAGAGTACATACTGTACTTGCAGGCCAATAGGATCAAAGAGAAATATCAACTTCAGGATTAAGTTAGACTAAATAAATCTCACCGTGGGAGTCAAAAAATGTCTGAATCTGATTAAGACCAAATGACCAGTTTAAAACTTTTGCTGGTTTATCTCCCGTCCCTGAACATGGACAGTTATGTTTTTGTCCATGAGTGTACTCTGACTCCATCTTCCACCACTTCACCCTGTCTCAAGCTGAGCCCGGTCAGTTTTATTTGGTCCTGATCCAAACCTCATGGCCACAGCTGAGGGCTGGAACACAGACCAGTGAATCCAGCGATCTGCCTTACCTTATCGGTCCTTCATTGTACCTTACAGTCACAGGTCTTTCCCCACACCTCAACACCAGTAAGATACACAGATAACAAAACTTTAAGGTTTTAAACCTAAACTTCAAGGTTTAACCAGAGAGCCACGTAGAGTCCACAGTGCTTTCATTTTCAACATGAACCTTGTTTTCAGCAGGACAGGAATGCTGTCAAGAACCCATGTCTGAATGTGGTCCTTAAAGAGTCAGAACTGATCATTAAGAATAATAATGCAGTTTTTTAATGTCGATGGTACAGATTGTGAAGTGCAGTCAAACTAAGTCACATCCTTACTTCATCGTTAGGGAAGGCCAGCAGTCCTGGAGCCCCGTGGTCAGTGAAGTAAACAAACACATGGTCATTGGGACCACTGCCAAAAACATGAGAGAACTGAGAGTTAGGAAGATCCAAACCAGATGGTTCTGATATTGTCATCTCTTTGAGTTGGGAAGAACTAAGTCAGACGAGTCTGTTGGTGTCGTCTCTGAGTTAGTAAGAACTAAGTCAGACGAGTCTGATGGTGTTGTCTCTTTTGAGTCAAGAAGAACTAAGTCAGACGAGTCTGATGGTGTCATCTCTTTGAGTTAAGAAGAACTAAGTCAGATGGTTCTGATGGTGTCGTCTCTTTTGAGTTAAGAAGAACTAAGTCAGATGGTTCTGATGGTGTCGTCTCTTTGAGTTAAGAAGAACTAAGTCAGATGGTTCTGATGGTGTCGTCTCTTTTGAGTTAAGAAGAACTAAGTCAGATGGTTCTGATGGTGTCGTCTCTTTTGAGTCAAGAAGAACTAAGTCAGATGAGTCTGATGGTGTCGTCTCTTTGAGTTAAGAAGAACTAAGTCAGATGAGTCTGATGGTGTTGTCTCTTTGAGTTAAGAAGAACTAAGTCAGATGAGTCTGATGGTGTCGTCTCTTTAAGTTAGGAAGAACCAGACCAAACCTAGACCTAAGTCAAACCCAACCAGATAAACCAGATGGATCGGTTCTGATGGTGTTGTGTCTTGGAGGCGTTCCTTCGTTCTTCTCACTTGCCTTTTTATAACCTTTTTCCCTTTGACAGCTGAAGAATCTCCTTTCAGAACCGCCAAGAAGTTCTGAGGGGTCACATCCTGCAGAAACAGTGACACGCAGTCTGAAAGTTAGAACAGCTGTGAAAACACTCATTCTGCACCTTTAAACCGCTGGTGTTCCTGAAGTACGCACATCCTTGGTGTAGTCTTTTGGCACTCCGTGGTACACATCAGAACCATTGGGCCTGTTGATGATCACACCAGGGGTGGGGTTTCTGAAAACAAAAACCTGATTCAGAACCACAGAGGGAAGTGTAGACTGCTGACAAAGCACCCTGGTCATATGTCCAGGAAACAGACGGCATATGACTCGGGTGCAGATAACAGAACCGGTCCAGACCCAATAACAGCAGTCCATTTGGTGCTGAAAGAAGCTAAACATCGGCTGAAAGCTAAAAAGAGGAAAATGTGAAAAAAACAAGGCAAAACACCAAGTAAAAGCTAAAGTACCAGGTCTAGCTAAAAGTACCACGAGACTAGTGAAAAGCAGCAATGAGCTAGTTAAAACAAATGCAGCAATGTTAAAGTTCAACATAGCAACAATTAACTAGTTGAAGCTAAACGCAGCAATGTTAAAGTTCAACATAGCAACAATTAACTAGTTGAAGCTAAACGCAGCAGAATGATCGTTAAAAATTTAAGGTAGTGTGAGAAAACAAAAATAGATCTCCGTGTATTTCTGTGAGGAAAACATTTATAAAAATATTTAAATCTTTTATAAAAGTGACAGAATCCAGCAGTCTTGTGCTGAATGAGTTGAACGATGTGATTTGTGGCTCAGACGTACTGGACCATAAACAGACTGTTTGGTTATTACATTATTAAAGTTATTTATTAACCAGAACCAGCAGGTTCTGACCTCTTTGGACTGATGACAAACTGCTGCCTGTCACAAGAACTGTCACATTTATTTTATACAACCTGTTCTCTGTACTCATCGGTTCTGCTTCAGACTCTAAATATGGTTTTATTGGTCCCCAAGCGTTCAGGTCCAGATCATGTAGGAACAAGTTCTGATCAATAAACGGGTCGAGGGACGGAGACGCCAAAGATCAGTCGGTAACTAAATAAGATCTGAGGAAATCAGCTGATGTTAGATTATTAACTTGTAACCTGGCTGCAGCCAGAAACACCACAAGTGTTCCTCGTGACTTGAGCTGTGAGAGTGGTCCAAACACAGCCGGTACCACCAGAACCACAGCCGGTACCACCAGAACCACAGCCGGTACCACCAGAACCACATGTTGCAGAGCTGGAATCACTTCATAATCCTCCTCACTCATGCAGTAATCACGTACTGACTTTATATCTGAAAGGTCATCCAGTGATCTGCCCTGTGGTTGGTGAGATATTTTGCTAACAGACAGATGTAAAACCATTATTAACACTAAGAATGTGACGGACAGCTCTCAGTGGTTAAAAGATGAATTAAAGCTCAATAATCCTGACGACAGATGAACATTAATGAAGCTCAACCTGAAACATTTCTACAGTAAGAAACAATCACATGACTGATCACATGACTGATCACATGACTGAAGAAGTTTCTGAAGACTCAAACGGGACAGAAGAAGAAAAAACGCTGACTCACTCCTCATTTTGTGCCAAGTCGTCGTACATCATGACAACGATCTGCTCGTCTGGGATCCCGTTCTTGTGAATGATCTGGTACGCATGGCAGGCGTCAGCCTGGAGAAGAGAGCACGAGTCACGTTACGTGCACGCAACACCGGGGAATGATCAATAACACTGAAGGAATGCATGTCGCCCGCCACCCTTCATGCTGGATGTTTACATGTTTTGGTCAGCCCTGCAGAAAAGTCATCTGCAGTCAGAGCATGTGGCACTACCAGAGCACACTGCCATACAGATTACAGATTACAGATTATATATTTATACACAGACAAACCACATGTAGGTAAGGCATGTCCGCCATATTTACTGTCATTATAATCAATGTAATTCTTATCAATTTGTCTTCACTAATTTGTTATTTATTGCTGTTTTTGTTATTTGCACCATTTTATTCTGTTAATTAATTTTATTGTTTATCGTTTTCTGTTCTATCTTCATTTCTGTAAGGTGACCCGGAGAGTTCTGAAAGACACCTATTGCATTAATATTGTACATAATTTATAACATTGTATATATTATAAATGTATTATTACTATTATTATCACATCATGCGGTTCAGAACCCTGCGACATTCTGGACCTTGAACAGAACAGAAAGACACTCCAGGTTATTTCTCATGATCCAAGCTTCAGAGCAGAACCTCTTGATGGAGGGACAGCTCCAGAACCCGTGGGTCTGGTTGTGAGCTTCAGAGCGGAACCTCTTGATGGAGGGACAGCTCCAGAACCCGTGGGTCTGGTTCTGAGCTTCAGAGCGGAACCTCTTGATGGAGGGACAGCTCCAGAACAGGTGAGGTCTGTCTTCACATCCTGGCTCTGGTTTATTAATATTTATTTGGCGGGACAATTGATCTTAATTTGGAAGGGCTTTAAAGGAAGCAGCAGCCAAAGTGCTTCAAGTTGTTCTGTTCACACTGCTGACCCGGTTCTCCTCACCTGGTGCCGGTAGTTGTACCAACCGTTGGAACCCGCCACGATCACCACCCAGTGTTTCCCTCCGCCAGCCTGCTCCGCGGAGGGATATCCAGCACTGAGGCCGAGCAGCGCGAGGAGGAGGACAGGCGGACGCATCTTGTCTCCTTCTGAGAGAGTCCTGAGACACACGGCAGGAGGAGAAATAAAACCGGGTTCAGTGCGAGCTGCAGGGTGAAACAACACAGAATCTTTAACTGTTTAACCACCACCTGACGCCATCCCGGGTCACGTGATGAGGGATGACAAGAAGCTAGCAAAGTCTTTGGACAAAAAGCTAACTAAACAACGTTATTTAAGGTGAAAACTCCCGAGAAACATTTAATGTCAAGTGTAATAAATAGATATTAAATAGAAATACGTTTTGTTACCTTTTAACAGCAGCGTGTACCGGGAGAGGAGTCAGCAAAACAACTGGAGACGAATCCCAAGCGACTGTTTATATATGACGTCGACAGGAACTGTTCCTCGGCAGCCAATCAGAGCGTTCGGTGGGCGGGGCAGAACTGTAAATTGTCATGTGATTTTAATACGACAAAAACGTGGATGAACTTGTTCAGCCAATGAAAGTATGAGGTTTCACTCTTTCTTTGTAAACAGGGTTATGAAATAAAGTGTTTCCTGGAGAAAAACATTGAGGTAAGATTACAGGTGTTTGTTACAAAACCCCCAAAGAATTCAAAACTTAAAATTTTAACATTTACTCTACTTTAACCTTTACTTTACCTTTCATCTTTATCATTTCCTTTAATTTAATCTTTGACCTTCAACATTTACTTCCAGGAAAAAAAAAAAAAAAATCACATGACGAGAGATTTTACCTCTCTCATATTTTAATGTTGTAAACACTTAGATAAACAATATTTAAAGTATAAACTTTCATCAGATCATCTTCTACTGTTTATCTGTAGTCAGCTCATGGAAGTAACAGGTCCCGGAGAGAAACCCAGAACCTCACCGACCTACACACAGGATCTGCCAGGCTGATTCTGGCAGATCCTGATCACCACTCCATGGTGAGTTCAGTTTGTTTCATCTGGACGCAGGTATCTGCTGCTCAGAATAACTCATTCTGCAGCGATCCGGCTTCTCAACAAACTCTGTACCGATACTTTAATGTCTCATTGTCTCGTCTAGGCTAGTATGACGTTTTATGTGCCTACTGGCTGACATATAGGACAACTTACTGTGAACTGTCTTATGAAGGGATAAGTGGGGACAATCTAGAGGACAAAGGGTTGAACATTTCCATATTACTGGGATGTCAAGCTGGAGCAGACGAGTTTTTAACAAAAGGATCACCTTTGACCTTAAAATAGGGTTCACCCTTAACCCACGTGGTGTCCTGCTGTGCAGTTGGACATTTCTATGACTAGGAGTTAAGGGACAAGACAGAGAGACAGATGGACAGGGCTATACCATAACAGTCCCATTAACAGAAACATTTGACCATAAGAAGAGACGCATTAAAGAAAGCAATAAATCAAACTTTTATTTTTCCATATAGAAAAAATGAAGTTAAAATAAAGAGTCCATCAAAAAGCTGCATCTTCGTTTCAACCAGTGGTCCTGAAAACATTTGTCCCAACAGATTAAAATCAAGATGTAACAAAGTGTAAATACTATGTTCACAGTAATAAATATTCAAAACAAAATCTTTTATACAGAGACATTATATATATATATATATATATATATATATATATATATATATATACATATATATATACATACATACACACATTTGTGTAAATATATGTGTTGATAAATTTGTATACAGTAAAAAGGTACCTTCAAGTTTATCAAATAAAAGGATTTAAATAAAGTGTCTGAAAAGAGAAAAATGATTGCATTGTGTCATTTCCAAGGCCTCAGTAAAGATGGCCGCTCAGACGGAGTAATAAATTAAACATAGGGTCATCTAAAGGTTATAGTGCATCTCTGTAAATCAACAAATAGTGCACGTTTGTTGCAACTTGTAGCAAAGCTGATGTGAATCAGAAGGAATGACAACAACCAGTTTGTGGAGCTCCTCTGAGCATTTATCTGTCTACAAAAAACAGAAAAGCTTCACATAAATAAAATTGTGGATCAATTATTTGAGAAATTAATAAATAAAGGAGAAATGTCCATGCTGCGTTCCCTCAGCTCTTTGAAAGTAACTGCTCTTTTGATGCATAGAAATGGATTCTGAGGAGCAGGAGCCGAGGGAGGGCCGTTACTGTCGAGAAGCAGTTCTGAGACACTGCATTAATGCAGCAAAGCATGATGGGTACATGTCTGCCTTCAATGACAGAAATGGGAGCTCATGCTTCCTGTTGGCCTGCAGGTTGCAGTGTCCTCCTGTCCCAGGCTCAAACCTCTGCTCCCAGCTCCGTGACCCCAGTCTCAATAACAGGAACTAGCTTATCGTCCACCTGGACCAGCAGGATGGTTCTGTTGAGGTGGGAACGGCTGGCCGGGTCTCGGCTACAAGGCACCCACCGGTGAACCACCTGCAGGGGCACAGCAGGGACAAGAAGTATTCAAGCACAGTGACAATACATATACATACATAATGAAAATTTATCCCATGCTGTTTAATAACATTACCTAATGGAAGCATATACTAGGTAAAGAGTATTGGTCCAAGCACTGAACCCTGTGGAACACCATGACTAACTCTGGTGTATGAAGATTCATTATTTACATTTACAAACTGGAATCTATCTGATAAATATGATTTAAACCATTTTAGAGCCATTCCTGTAATCCCAATCCCATGTTCAAGTCTCTGTAGTAAAATACTGTGATCAACTAACGGCAGCACTGAGGTCTAACAGGACCAGAGACACCTGTCCATTGTCAGAGACCACGAGAATATCATTAGTAACTTTCACCAGTGCAGAATCAGTGCCGAGCTCTAAAACCTGCTGAAACTCTTCAGATTATTTGTAGATGATCACGTAACTGACCTGCAACTATTTTCTCTAGAATTTGAGATGAATGTTAGATTAGATATAGATCTATAAGTGGCCAGGATTCCTGAGTCAAGCGACAGAACTTCAATCCATCAGAGTTTTACCAGCTCACAGATTGAGATTCAAAGCATTCTGTCCAGAACCTGGACTGTAGAACTGAGCCAGATAAACGTCTAACAGCACATGAACGCTCCTCCAAGTGTTTTGTGTCAAAATGATGAAGTCTGAGCTGATCCTGATGGAAACAGAACAACGTGTTACTGCGCCATAGATCCAACAGAACCAACCCAGAAGATGACTTCTGAAAAGCTGCACAGAGAAGACTCAACCCACAGGGGTGTGGTGCTGTGTTCCAGATGTTGGTGCTGACTCACATGTCCTTCCATGCCCTCAGCAGGACTCCAGTCCCTCCAGCAGGTCCGACCGGCCCTCAGTCTCAGGGTCTCATCGGGCCACTGGAGCTCCTTCCTTTTCGGGAGGTTGATGTTCTCCAACACCTGACTCACGTCCACGATCTGAGAGACACCCAGAACCTCAGCACGAGTTTGAGGACAGATGAACAGATGTGTGCATGTCCCCCCACTCCAAACCTGCACTCTGTAGGAGATGTCGTCTCTGCGCACGGTGGACACGGTGGGGTTGTGCTGCTGCGGGCGGTAATGACAGTGATGAAGCTGGCTGAGGGGGTCTGTGACGGTGCTGCAGACGCCTTCGTTACCCAGGAGCCCCACCAGCGTGTGGCGTTTGCAGGGAGGGATGCTGTGGCTGGAGAGAGAGGACGAGGGGCCAGCCGGGTCGGACCCGGGGCCCAGTCGCAGCTGCAGGGAGGTGGGCAGGGTGCGCAGAGACAGCTGGCTGGTGGAGGAGCGGCGGCAGGGCTCCAGGCCCGTGGTGGAGGTGCGCAGTGAGGAGTGGCGGCTGCTGCTGTAGCGGTACAGGGAGGACTGGCTGACCATGGAGGCTCTGGCAGGGGAGTGGCGCACCAAACCAAACTGGACTGACTGGGAGCTCTGGCTGGTACCTGAGAACAGAACCAGACATGATCCCATGTGAGAAAAACTCAACCCAAAGGTTCTGATCTGCTCTTCCACCTACAAACCTCTCAGTCGAGTCACACAGAACCCTGAACTGTCACAGACTGCTGCCATGAGAGGTGGGCAGTCACGTAAAGGCCTGAGTGTGTTAGCAAAAAATCACATGAACCACTGGACAGAATGTACTGATACATTCAGGGATTCATTATTAAATATTAATTATTAGATATGAATGTACAAATGACTGGCCAAAGCCTGCCCAGTTCAAGATGGCCACCACAGCAACCGACTTAAAAAAACTGGTCCAGACTGGTCCACAGAGGTCCAACACGTCTTTAGTGTTTTTTAAGTCTCATCTCAGACTTTTTAAAAATTTTGGTTTATTTTTATGCTCCCTTGTTTTACTGTTTACTGTTTTTTGTGCAGCACCAACAGCAGCCGTTTGTAAATGTGCATCAAAAACAAAACGTTCAGTAAATTCAACAAATTTTAAGCTCAAATCTGATGTGGTAGCTGAGAGTCATTCTCAACACATACTCTGAGAGGCATTTTTAACATTTGACCAAAACGACAACAGCTCATTCACTCACTCACTGACTCACCCATTGACTGACTCATTGACTCACTCACCCATTGATTGACTCATTCACTGACTCACTGAGTCACTCATTCATTGACTCACTGAGCCACTCATTCACTGACTCATTGACTCACTCACCCATTGATTGACTCATTCACTGACTCACTGAGTCACTCATTCATTGACTGACTCACCCATTGACTGACTCATTGACTGACTCACCCATTGACTGACTCATTGACTGACTCACCCATTGACTGACTCATTGACTCACTCACCCATTGACTGACT